GGACTAGTGAAAGAGTGGATTCAATCAACTAATCATCTACTTTTCCTATATCACTCTTGGACTAGTTAAATCACTCTTCCAATTGTTCAGGTTATGAAATTATCACTTAATAGAACTAATCATCTACTTTTCTTATACCGGAAGAAGTGGATTCAATCAAGCAAGATTATGCTTCCAACTCCCTATTCGGCGTCCTAAAAATGTTAGACATATTTTATCTGATACAAAAGTTATTTTCACTCTTGCAATCATCAAAGAACAATCTCTCACAAGCTGAAGTTCATAACTCACTCAAGATTAAGATCGCGTAAGATATGATCATCGTGTGAAATATTAATCTTCTCAATTAACGAATTTATAAGGAGAGATCAAGTATTTCATGATCCAACCTTAGACAAACTCATTGCATACGATATCAAATTCACCTATCTATACCTGAACAATTTGGATCAAATTATTTTTAACATTAAAAAGTGAACCATATAAATAATGTTGTCAAGATAAGGCACCCAACCTTATCTATATATCTTGGATCCTTGAGATTATTACTTAAACATGATCTTCCTATGTGTCAACTATATACTGTTCAAGTCTATGATAATTACCTTAGATTTTACATAATATTGGATAGTGTTATAGTTAATATAAATTAATAAATTAGAAAATGTTCCATTGCAAAAATTACAAATTTTTGGGCATATATTCGAATGACAAAAGAACGAATCTTTGCCACATTACACTAGGTGGCAAAGAACTCTAACGCTGTTGTGACAGGTACGGTACCCATCCTTAGACATTATGCTTGGGCATTTGATTTAGACTCTAGACATTTCTTCATTTCTACATCTTTTGTTAAGCAAATTGAATTAGGGGTAGAGTTAAGCCTTTAGGGTATGTTTTTTTTTTGTGGCTACTCCAACGGGGGTTAGTATGATGGCCCATGAAAAGGTGTTGATGTCAAGTCAAATAATGGATGGACAATGATATTGTTGAAGATGAGCGGACTTTTGGGATAGAGTGATTAACTATGAATGACACCATCATGGACTTTTATCATAAGAAGGTGGTGCTTAACAAGTGTCTCAACCAAACTTCAAGTTTAAGGGAACAAAAGTTGAGGCTATTTTCAAGATGAGTTTTGCGACGAAGGCCAAGAAGTTGATTTGTTAGGATGCTTTGGGTATGTTTATCCAATGTGATCGACACATGACATACTAAGATTAATTTTCATGCGGGAGAGAAGAATATAGTTGTGGCCTATTCAAAATTATAAATAAAACCAACTATGTGAAAATTGTCTAGTCTTCAAACAAGCAAAATTACCAGTTTCAGCTCAAACCAATTTTTGTGTTGAGCGACTATTGCAATTGGTGCATGCAGATATATGTGGCCTGATCACTCATCATCGATTACTGACAATAAGTATTTTTTTCTTACTTGTTGACAATTATAGCCATTGGATGTGGGTGTACATGCTCAAAGAAAAAAAAGAGACATTATATGCGTTCAAGAAATTCAAAAGACTTGTTAAAAGCAAGTCTAATCACAAGCTCAAAAAACGTGTGCACTGACCGATGCGGCAAGTTCTTATCGTAGAACTTCTCAAAGTTTTATGAAGAGGAAGGTATCAAATGTCAACTCATTACACCATACTTCCGAAAAAAAATGGTATAGTTAAGTGAAAAAATAGCACCGTAATGAATATCATGATAAGCTTACTCAAGAACATGCAAGTCACGATGATTTTTTTGGGGTGAGACAATACGACATGAGGTTTATCTTCTAAATTGTTTAATGAAAAAGGCATTGGATATTCACACTCCCTATGAAGCATGGTTAGGTATGAAACCTTATTTCGAGCATCTAAGAGCCTTTACTTGTACACTCATGTTAAGACGATAAATCCATACATTAAGAAGCTTGATGACAGAAGCCAAAAGATGGTGTATTTTGGCATAGAGGATGAGACTAAGGCACATAGGCAGTATGATCCTCCACTTGAGAAACTAGTAAGTAGAGATATCATATTCAAAGAAGGGAAGAAGTGAGATTGGTACAGCGTCAACGAGAACAAATATATTGTTGTGGAGTTTACTACTTTAGAAAAAGAGTGAGACACAACAGACCTAGAAATTATGCCAATACCGACACTAGCTAGTCCACATATGTCATCACTAGTGCCACCAAAATGCATGATAAACTCTCTAGAGCAAAGAAGCTCAGGCGAGAGCACAGAAGGATCCACAATAGATGGTGGATCAAAGAAGTTTTGTTTTCTCACTGAAACTTATGTAGATATACTTGAAGAAGAATTGGATCTTGATGAGCTAGTGTTGCTCATTGCCAAGGAGCTAACAACTTATGTGAGATAGAAACTGAGACGTCATGACACGAGACTAGGAAAAAATAGCTTGAAGCCATTAAAAAGAACCAAATATTGGCACTCACCGACTTACCACCTAGTCACAAGCCCATTAGTTTGAAGTGGATGTTTAAGTTGAAGAAGAATAATGAAGAAAATGTCATCAAGCACAAAGCAAGACTGTGGGAAGGGATATGTGTACGAACAAAGGTAAGAAAGAGAATGAGGACTTGATAAACTAGTCGGTTTTACCGATAATGATTTAGCTGGAGACATCAATGATAGAAAAAACACCATAGGAATGATATTCTATCACAATGAAAATTTGGTAAGACAATCTCAGAAGTAAGGAACTGTGGCACTATATTTCTAGGAGGTGAATTCATGGAAACTATTGCAGTGTCATGCTAAGCATTGTGGCTAATAAATTTGTTGAGCAAAGTCACTGAAAATGAGCCTAAGTTAGTAACTCTCTACGTTAACAACAATTTGTGATTGCATTGATATAGAATCAGATATTTCACAGACGCAACAAACACAACGACACTCGTTTCCACTTCATCTGTGTGTGTGTCGCAAAGAAATGATTTTGTGGAGTTTGTATGCATTGGAGAGCAATATGCAAATATTCTTGTCGAGGCTCCAGCAAGGGTTAAATCTACAAACATGCGATAGTTGCTCAAAATGAAGAATCTCGAACAAAGTTAAGCTTACCAGGAGATTGTGAGTCAATAAGTTTGACGTAGTAAAATAAGTTATTTGTGAAGTAACTCTATGTAACGACCCTATTTTTCTATTGTGATAGCTACCATGTGCATGACATGATCTTTTTACGAGGAAACTTTCATTTTAAAATAATTCATAAATTGATGTGAGGGACTTATACTTTTGCATTAAAAACCTTAAAACAAAACAATGAAAATATTCCTGGTGAAATATAAATAAAACTAGAAAAGATTAAAACAATGTCTTAATCTAATCTAAGACTTGTGAAATAAAAATGCAACTAGCCTAACATAGGTTCTATGGTCTTCAACACGATGTTGTCGTCAACCGTACAAAGATGATTTGTCTTTACCTGAAATATAAGAATAGTATAAGACTTGATTATTTTAAGAAATACTCAGGAAGTGTATCCACTATTGGGGTCGGAGAATGCAAACACATGCAGATGATGAGACCTATCATTTAAAATCTTCTCTTAGGTGGCTTTTCAGTCTAGTCAAATTGGATGAGTAGTACTTGTACACACGACCCACACGTACGAGCATGGTCCCACAAGAGGGCTCACACACCTCTTGGTTCTGCTCGTAGGGCTAGCTTCTCTAGGCTGTTGGCGGATACCCGGAGGAATAGCGACCGTCGTAGAATCATGGTAAACATGATGATCATTTCAGTCTCATAGTGTACTTGTCCGTACTCATCATATTTTCCATTGTAATAAATCATGCAAGATAACCCCATTCTTTCTTTCATATTACGCTCACTAGTATGCATGCATAAACTTTCATAAATCATTTCATTCATAACATAATTTTCCATCATAGCATGGGGTTGTGTTTCATAACTTTCTTTATTTCAAAATATTTCATAGCATGTCATCACATATCATTGCTTAACTAACACATCATAATGCATCATGACATTTCATATATTACATAGCTTATTGTGCATTTATAGAATCATATCATTTGGCATATCATATAACTATACATTAATAAAATGACATCACATCACATCACCCACATAACGTCTCCAAAGCTACTAGACATGCATCATCATACATAAAACAATTCTTCCAATCAGACCGATAATAGAGTTACTTACTTAGTTGGTCTAGGCTGAAGTTACTACGACCTCTGGATGCTAGCTTAATGTTGCTCTTCAAAATTTAATTGTACCTAAAGAGTGCCACAATCATAATTAGAATTCTACTGGACTAGCCTAATTTATCATAAAATAATTTAAACTACTAAACCTAATTTTACGTAAAATAATTTAAACCTATTCCAACTAATTTAAAATTTTAAACAAGTTAAACCTAATTTAACTTTTAAACCACCTAAACCTAATTTCCCACGAATAATTTAAGCTTTGACTCGAAATAATTTAAACTACCTAATTCTTATTTTTTATCATGTATAAATTTGACTTCAAATAATTTAAACTAGTTAAAAAATAGTCAAATTAATGTTAAACGTTTTTGAAAAGTTAAAAATGGTAAGAAAGAATCGAAAAGAATTCGACAAATCAAGACTACTCAACCAAAATTATAAAATTTGAACTGAGTTAGATTTTTTTTGGATTCGTTAAACTTTTAGAAAACAAAAAAATTGTGTTGGTTCTAGGGTTGACATTGCTTTGGTTGGGTCAACCGACGAACTCGAAAATAGAGTGACAACCTAAATGTATCTTATCGTACTTTTAAGATTATTCTAAACATCAAAAATACCCGATCGATTGTAACCCATGTTAGTGATATATTATAACCGGTAAATATTCGATATTTTAGTTGTGTCCTTAAATTTGTCCAAAATACGTTACCCTCAAACGCTCCTTGTCGGCGCTTGGCTTTCCTTCTTCCACATTTATTTCTTGTCGGTTTCCTCCCTACCCCAATCCCTATATGTCCCCGCACTTTCTCTCCTTCTCTCACACCCCAAAAGAAAAACCCTTCTTTTTCCCTTCCAAAATGGACGGCAGCGCCGGCACCGGCACCGGAAACAGCCACAGACTCCTCGACGGCGTCCACCGGCGAAAGCCCACAAAGAAAACCAAACAGCCCAACAAAAACAAACCCATCAAAGTCGTGTACATATCCAACCCCATGAAGGTTCAAATCAGCGCATCTGGATTCATGGCTTTGGTCCAACAACTCACCGGCCAAGACGCCGAGTTTCCAGACTCCTCTAAGTTCCCACCCGCCGCCGCCTTCCCCGACATCCACGACACCACGGCGGATGCTAATCTGATGATGAATAACAACCCTTCACTTACTGTTGAGCCTCCGATGGAGGATGACCCCCTTCTTGGCACTTTCTATGATGACATTGACGATCTGATTTTTCCCCCTCCGGTGATCGGAAACTACCCAGCACTGCTTCCGGCGGCGGCGGCAACGGCGGTTTTGTATGAATCTTATGCAAGGTGAAAAAACATGTTGGCGAAAATCTTTAAATTCTCTCTTTAATTTTTGCATATTTTGTATATGAAATTAGAGAATAACAACTATTAATTATCATATATTTTGTTTTTATATTTAATTTCTAAATTTCAATTCTAAACTCGTAATTATATCAATTTAAACCCTAATTTCGCGAAAAAATAACGCAAACGAATCAATGTTATAATTAAATAAATGTTAGCTCATTTTTTTTAATTAATAGATTGAATTATGAAGTTCATATTGCAAGTTGATATTTAAAATTTTATAAATTATTTAAAAAATATTTTGATTTTGATTTTTCATGAAATTAATGGACCCAAACTGTACCTTTTTTGTTTGGTTAGGGTAATTTCAGCAAGTTGGGGAAAGGATTGAAGGGAAAGGGAATTGGGTGAGCCATGGAATATGATGTAACTCAACATCACAACCAAACAAAACCCTTAAAAGGTCAATATTTAAAACTTTATATTATTTAGATACAAATAATACACATTAATTAACCTTTAATTATAATAATCCTTTTTTCAAACGTTTAAAAAATGTTATTTGTTAAATATTTATTTATTTATTTTGAAACATTTAATTAAGATTTTATGTTTTGAAAAATTATCTGTCCTATAATTTAAAACTATTTGTAAAAGTTGTTGAATCATGATCATTACAAGCAAGTCGATACTTTATAAGTTGTTCGTAATTGTAGTTAGGTCAAAAATTTATTTTATCCCTATAATTACAATTTTTGTATTAGTGATTCTCTAATGAATAATTTGTTTATGATCCAATCATAAACTAAGCCTCTCTCAGGTTATGTAAATGGTGGGGTTCATTGTTCAAGTCTCAAAATCAACGCTTAAGAGGACTACTCATCTGCTTACTCTATGTGGGAAAAGTGAATTTCATCTCGTGAATTATGTTCTTAACTTTATATTAGATTAAGTACCCAAAATGGTAGGCATATGAATAAGCTACCAAACCTATTTTCACCAATGCAAAATAGAAGACAAACTCTCACAAGCAAGAGTTCATAACTCACTCAAGATTAAGATCGAGTCGCTAATGATCATCGGGTTTATAATGAGATTTAGTTGTCCAGTCTTCTAAAAACTCATTGTATAGGATACCCCTACTCACATATCTTCACATGAAACGAAGGCACCCATCTTTATCTATATATTCTCAACCATTTAAGTTATTACTTGAACATAATCCTCTTATTTGTCAATATATATGGTTCAAGGTTAATATAATAATCTTGAATTTTATATAATATTGGATAATGTTACACAAAATAGAAAATAAAAAATTATTTTATTCATAAATAAGAAAATGTTCCATTACAAAAAATACTAACTTTAGGGCACAAATCATAACAATCTCTCAAACTTACGATATGTGTTCTAGGGCATACTATATACCTAATATTTTCTTCCCCTTGCCCTAGAGTAGGTGAAACATATTCTATAGACCTAGACTCTACAGATGACCCTCAAACACTTTAGCCTGAAGAGCATTTATAAACGGATCGATATAGTTGTTTGCTGAGGCTATCTTTATGACAACCACATCTTCTCTTTGCACAATCTCCCTATCGAAATGATATTTGCCACAACACCACTATTATCACAATAAAGTGTGATAGGTTTACCCATATTTGGAACTACTTCCAAATTCGTTAAGTCGCATAGCTTCTTTTGTTGCTTCACAAGTAGCTATGTACACAACTTCGATTGTAGAGTTTGTAATACATTCTTGCTTGATGCTCCTCCGCTTAGGGTAAACACTAATCATGATGTGAATTTTCTCGAATCCTTATCAGTTTAAAAATCAAAGTCCGTATATATTGGAAGGATCAAATCTCCAGCTCCAAGCATATAATTCCTCATTTTCCATAAGTATTTGAGGATAATTTTAATTACTATCTAGTGATCATACCTAAGGTTTGACTGATATCTAGTAACAATCCCCCTTGCATAACATATATCAAGTATTGTACACAACATTGCATACATTAGACTGCTACAACTGAGACATAAAGAATCCTTCTCATATCAACTTCTTGAGGTAGTTTAGGACATTGTTGTTCCTTAGACAATGTAATGCCTCAAAGGAAAATTGCCTTTTTGGAATTTTTCATGGAATACTTGACAAGAATCTTGTTAATAAAGGTTTTATTTTTATAATTACTTATAATTTGGATTCCGGTAACAAAATGTTCTTCTCCCATATCTTTCCTTTGAAATTGGTTAGCTAGCATAATAGCCTATATCGTTCCGAATGAGTAAGATATCATCTACATACAAGATAATAAAAGCTATTGTTTTCTTGTTGTTTTTCTTGTATAGTCAAGGTTCATCAACATTTTACTCAAAGCCATAAAATTTGACCATATTGTTAAATCTAATGTTCCAAGATCTTGATGCTTGTTTTAATCGAAAAATAGATCTCTTAAGCTTACAAACCTTTTGCTCGTGCCCTTGGTTTACACACCCTTCTAATTGATTCATGTAGATGTTGTCATTTAGAAAGACAGTTTTCACATCAATTTTTCATCTCATAGTTAAAATATGTGCCAATGGATATAAGTGAATGCAAATAGACTTTAACATGACAACAAAAGAGATAGTGTCCTCCTAGTTCACTTATTCTCTTTGGTTAACTCCTTTTGCCACAAGTCTAACTTTAAAGATCTGTACCTTTCCATCCACTCCTCATTTTCTTTAGTAAATCTATTTACCGTCTAAGAATCAAGAGGATCTACAAGTTCCTATATTAAATTTGGGTGCACGGATCTTATTTCATGGTTCATAGCTTCAATTCATTCATCCTTGTTAACATCATTAATTGTCCCCTTTAAAGGACAATGAATCCTTGATGTAACTATCGTTATAACAAGTTGAGCTAAAGTAAAGCCCATGTAACAGTTAGTTGGTTCATAACTCTTCCCGTGCGACAAGACATTATCAATTCTTGACATGGAGGGATGGAATTGTCAACCTCTCTAGTTGATGCATTAGTAGCTTCAATGGAATTTAATTAAGCAAGGTTTACCTGATCTTCCTCTAAGAAAGTAGTGTTTTTCAATACAAATACAGGTAACCACCTCTAGTCTTTTTGGGATAACCTACAAATTGGCATACTTTAGAACGATATTCCAATTTCTTCGAATGTGTTTTTAGCATATGCGCTGGACATTCCCAAATTATGAAGTTTTGTAAACTAACTTTACGACCTTTCCACAATTCAAAAGATGCCACAATGACACTTTTAGATGAACCTACATTCAGTATGTATAATGCAGTCTCCACTACATATTCTCAAAAGAAATTTGGCAGTGGAGTATACGCATCATAGAATGAACCATGTCTAGCAAAGTTTTGTTTCTCCTTTCTAAAACACCATTTTGTTGAGGTGTTTCAAAAGTTGAGAATTGGATTGTTATTCCATTTTCTATCAAATAATTTTCGAAACTCAGATCAATGTACTCTCCACCGTAATCTGATCGAAGTGTTTTTGATAAATTTATCTAATAGATTCTCAACTTTATTCCTGTACTCCTTGAACTTTTCAAAAACTTCAAACTTGTATTGCATTAGGAAAAGACATCATATCTAGAATTATCTACAAAGATGCGATATTCATACCCTCCTCTAACTTTAATATTCATCGAACAAAACAGGTATAAAGATAAAATTTATAAGAATTCATTGCCCAATATATTTTCCCATAAAAAGGTCTTTTAGTCATCTTTATCACAATTCAAAGACTTGTAAAATGTCCAATTCTAACTTAATTAGAGGACCCCTCTTTACTAATTTTTCAATTCTATCTAAATTGATAGTGACCCAGCCTTAGATGCCAAACACCGACATTGGAGCTAACTTTTTGTTTTTTTATTTTAAATTAAGATGTCTTAAATAATTTAATGTTTTGAAGTATCTTACATACCAACGGCCTTTAACACACCTTTTCGAAACAACTTTGTCATAATAAAAATTTAAGAAATGAATTGTTTAGCTAAACATGGAACTGAAATTAGCTTCGGTCATATCATAAGAACCACATTTTGACCGTTATTGCTAACACAATATCTCAGGTGCCTACTTTTATGATCATTCCTCTGTCGTCTAACTACTTTCAAGAGTCACTTTTCGAGAAATAAGAACAAACATGATTAGTGGCTCCCAAATCAATTATACACGGAAATTTCTTTTTTTGATTTCGTTTTTTGGTCTAGGTATTCAGGGTAGTTTCTTTTCTAATGACCATCTACGTTGCAATGAAAACTTTTCCTTGCAGTTCCTTTTGAAGCAGTTGTAGTCTTATTCTTATTTTTATTCTTATTCTTATTCTCACTAGATTTTTTCTTTTTGTTTTTAATCCCACTGTTGAATCTCTAGACTTAATTTCAGAGGTCGAACCTCTAAATTTGAGCCTATGTCACTTCTATCTCCACACTATTTCCTTTTTTCATCATAAACTCAATGTTTGTCGTTCATTGAGATGATTAATGAAGTTGTAACTAATTTTTTTCATAATAATCTTACTTAAAGAAAGGAAGAAAACTCTTAGAGAGAGTTTCTAGAATAAAACTTACCTAGCTAGACTCGTCTATGATAACACCATTCATTTCAACAGTATTACGCATACTGGACCATCATTTGGAGAACATGTTCTCACACTGATGTTCATAACAACATTTTTAGAGGTTTTTAGGGCTCAATTTCTTCATCTAGCTAAAGGAATTGGTTTGGAGAAATGTCTTTAACTGTGTGGCCTTAATTTGAGAAGTTTTTCTCGGTCTACAGCTCACTTGAAAACATAGAGAATTGACTTCTTAGGCAACTCAATTTAGGACATTTTAGCTCGTCATTTCTTCATTAAAGTTACTTAATTTAATCCTTTGAAGCTACCAAAATGCTCAATTTGAAGAAAAATGGATCGTAGATGCGAATTCGATACTTACCCCATTTGAACCTGAAACTAACTTTCTTCCATTGGGCATGTTCTTTGGGTTAATTCTTTTCATGGTCTTCTTCAAAAACGATCCTTGAATGTGAGTTTCCACATCGGTTGGAGAGGGGAACGAAACATTCCTTATAAGGGTGTGGAAACCTCTATCTGGTAGACGCGTTTTAAAACTGTGAGGTTAACAGTGATATGTAATGGGCCAAAGCGGACAATATCTGCTAGTGGTAGGTTTGAACTATTACATTAAATGTGTAGAAACTGAATGGGATTGGCCTTGCTCGGCGACTTTACGTGTAGGCTCGGATTGAAATTTCAAGCTTACTTTGAACTTTTTCAATGGCTGCCACTATTCGGGAAATGGGTTTGAGGCTCTTTCAACACTCGATTCCTTTGTAAAACTTGTGGGTTATCTTGTTTAGAAGTTGTAGGAACAAGTTTGAAAGAAATAGTGGAGAATTTCTCTCGTGTTTGGAAGATACTCGAGAGTAGGAAACAAAAAAACTCAATGGCTATAACTTACGATTGAGAGTTCGACTCAACTCGATTCTTGTTCCATATGAGTGCCCTAACTTCATACACACATAAACTATAATAATAATAATAAAATAAATAACTAGCCAACATAGAAGTAAGGTAAAAGTGCTTGAAATGGGCATGCGGCAACCTAAAACAGACCCTAAACGAGCATGGTCGTGGCACTTAAAACAATGATAACATCTCATAAGATTGACAATCATATCTGTAAATGATTATACAGCCTTGTACATTTTGTATATCATAGTAGAACATTCTTTACATAGACTTCATAATAACATACCTAATAACAACTTTAATTTCTAACGAGATGCATAGTCTTTCTATCGCACTTTTATAATAAATTTGTGGTCCATAATGTCTCTCAAAGACATATACATATTCACACAAAGTTATGGTTGATTAGACATGAGTGTATACATATCACATAAAACATACCTAACCATTCAATTCAATAACAAGTAATTCTAATCAACATGATACATGAACATGCATTAAATTATCCATCCAGCCTAGCCTTAAGGCCTTTGAACAATAAGATTCCAAGATTCTAAGTCCACTACTAACAGAACTATTTGGGCTTGTTACTTATCGCTGTCAGCCTCAAGGTTTTAAAATATGTCTACTAGGGACAGGTTTTCACACCCTTACAAAGAATG